GGCCCCCTCCGCCCCCAGCCCCATCGCCCCCTTCCCCTCCCCCCAGACGGGCAGCTACTTACAGAGCTTCAGGGCCGGGGCTCACACCTGAGCCGGACCACAGAGGGGCTGCACCTGGCCTTATGGGTAGGTTCCTGGACGGAGCCCTGGGGAGACTGGGGGCGGGGAGGCGGCAGGGGCCGGTGGGAGGATCTCTGGGCCGCTGCAGCCCTCTGGATTTGAGAAGAGTCAAAGTATTCCTCCCTGGCCCGCAGGAGCTGGTTGCTCTGCCTGGCCCGAGTTCTGGAGATGCTGAGTTAGTGCTGTCCCACCCACTCCCTCCTCAGGAGCCCCAAGCCCCGCTCCTCCCAGCGCTCAGGTGGGACCTGGCGGTGCAGAGGCCAGAAGAGCAGCCCCAGCGTGTGAGCCTGGGGCAGTAGTCAATGAAGGCTGGGGGGCAGGCCCTGGCCCAGGGGGAGCTGGGAGACCAGGAGTTGGGCTGCAAGGAGCGCCCCTGCTGAGCTGGCCGGCTGATGGGCTGTTGGCATTTCCTTGCGGACCTGTGCTCCTGGCTGGTGGACCATGCTGTCCTCGGGCCATGCCCACCTTGCGGCTTCCTGGGAGGGACAGTTCCTCTCGTGCATGTCCCTGGGAGCCAGCGGCGGGCAGGCCCGCAGAGAGAAGTGGTGCTGGGTGGGAGGGAGCAGTGTGACCCTGACAGGGGCTGTGGCACATCAGCGGGGGCCGTGGGGGGTGGGGGCAGCCTGACGACGCCGGCCTGTGATGGGAGAGGTGCCTGGGACAGCCTGGGATCCACTGCACCAGCGGGGAGTCCGCATGGGCGCCCAGACCTCTGACCTTTGGAACGGGAAGCAGCCTGCGTCGCAGAGGAAGGCGGAGGCGGGACAGCTGCCCAGGAAGATGGGACTGGTCGGGGAGGCCTTGCCTCTACTCGAGTGGAGTTACCAGTGGCTTTCCAGGCTGGACAAACTCCAGATGAAGTGGCTTCCTTGAGCCACGGTAGTGGGGGCTGGGGTGGTGTCTCCCTGGGCCTGCCCCATCTCTGGGCCGCTCTGGAGTAGGACCTCGAGAACTGGGGGTAGGAGCCTTTAGCCCAAATGCCAAAGCCCTGAGTTAACCCTTCTTTCTCCCATTGTTTGCTTGGGGAGGAGGGTCGGAGTGAGCGTGGAAAAAAGGCATTCCCACACTGCCCTAGGCAGACTATTCTAATGAGGCCCCTCCCCCACCCAGCCACCATCTCTGCCACTTCTTCCCCTTTCCTCCTGCCTCCCGCTGCTAACCCACCCCCTTCCTCCTTCCCCCACCCCTGCTGGCCTCGTCCCGACGGAGGCCCCCTTCTTCCTCCTCCTCCGCCTGCCAAAACCCTGCTGGGTGCGTGTTCTCCTGCACCTAGTGGGCTGGGGGCGCTTAACAGCCGTCAGCAGCAGCATCTGACAAGCTGGGGGAAGTTGTGGGGGAAGAATAATGTTCAGGAACTCGCTGTGGAGAGGTTGAGAAGAGAGACAAAGGGGCTGTGGGGGAGTGAGGAGGGTGGCATCAGGCACGACTCCCTTCTAGACCTGGGGAGCCCGGCACCCGCTTGCTGTGCAGGTGACTTCACCTTTCCTCAGAAGGCCCCTCCCGCCCTCTGCCACCTGCACCTTGTTCTGGCCGAGGGGCCTCATCACCCCTGAAGCGGGGTCTTGGGGTCACCCATGGCAGCACCCTGGTCTAGGTCAGTAAGCCATGCCTGAATTTCAAGGAGGTGTGGAGTTTCTCTGTGAGCGGATCTGGGGCTTCAGTAGTGCATCCCTAGAAGAGGATGGGCTTGAGTGCACACTTAGGTGCATCTTCTTACGGGGGAGGGGGTGGTAGATAATTGATAGTAGGAAGGGGAGGGCAAAGTCCCAGCAGGTGAGAGAGGGGGCTTGGGAGGAAAGAGCAGTTGCTCTGCATTCTCCCACCACCGGCTTCCGGCTCCTTTTCCCAGCTGTTTGTGGGCTGGGGGCAAAGGATGCATTATCCCATCTTAGAATTTGTTGAATCACGGAAAGAACTAGGATTTCCGACCTCAGTATTCAAGGACTCCACCGGGAGCAGGTTTGGTTGGTGGCCTGGAGGCAAAGACTTGAGACTGAAACAAAAATGACTCTACAACACAGTAGACCTTTGAGCACAACACAAAGGTTCTTAACCTGGGGCCCTGGGATCTGGGAATCCATTGGCAACTTGGGAGAGTCCTTGACGTTCTGGATACTTACATACATCAGATTCTTAAACCAGTCAGAAAAGTGTAACGGAAATCCTTTAGATGAAAGGCCTTTTTAGGTTGAAGCAACTTGGAAGAGCGAGGACTGCTCCAGAATCTGCTGTTCAGTGAGTTGCAAGGCGAAGACAGGAATGCAGATCCTCTGCCTTCTAGCTTAGAGTTCTTACACTCCCAGTTACTTTCTGATGTTCTTGTTTAGTCTTGAGGGTGGGCTTTGCATTCCCAGCTCTAAACTCTCTGGGAAAGCTTCATGTTGAAAGCCATGGTGAAGATGGGAGGTTTTTCACTGAATGTGGTGGAAACAGGTGCAGAGCCTTAAAGTTTGAGTTCACGGGTCCCTCGGATTCAGTCGCTGGGGTAAGATTAGGTTGAATGGTTCTCAGGGCTAGGGAGCAAGATTTCATTTTCTTCTGTAGGGTGATGGGAATCCTGGAGCAGACTTTGGGAAGGATGAGCGTGAGCCAGTGAATGGACGGAGGCTGCCCAAATGGGAGCACGATTGGGTGTGGGTTGTTAATTTATCAGTAAGGTAGCAGAGACGATGCGCGGCCGGTAGTGTGTTCTCAGTAAACTGTTGAAAGAATAAATGTATTGATGGATCTGAAAGGTGTGTGTAGAAAGAATGGGTGAATCTGATAACATACATTTGATAGAATCCTAAGATTCCAGAATGGCGTGGGAGCAGGCAAGCTCTTTAGGGGCTTGTGGTGGTGTTTGAGCAGAGGGGGACACGGAGCAGTGATTTCATCATCTGTAGACATCACGACCAAACCGGATTTGTGGTCTGGAAGCCAAGACCAGGAATAGAAGGGGTTGATTGCCTGGGAAAATTGTAAGAAGGACGAGAGGATCCAATTCGTGATTGGGAAGTAAGATAGGAGAGGATGGAGCCAAGATCTGTGCCTAAGCTAAGGCGCGTGATTACTCTTTGAATAGAATTACTCTTTCCATGTCAGAGGGTGGGCAACTGATGGAGGCTGACCTATGGAGGAAGATTTCAGGAGAGGCATAAGAGAAGGTTGGAAACCAGCCAAATGATTTGCGTTCACTGACCAACTTCAGATTTTCCCATTTTCCATGGCAAGCCAATTGAGTTGATGAGCAAAGAACTCAGTCCTTTACCTCCTGTCACTGTCTCCAGAGCACAAAGAGATTGAGAAGAGCTGTGCCCCTTCCCCGCCCCGCCTGGCGCCCCCCCCCCCCCGCCCCAGTATCAAGCGGCCTTGCTTGCTAATACCTGGAGAGGTCAAGGTAACTTCTGTTCCTTGTTTCTCCAGGCTGAGAAGAAAGCCAAGGTGATTGCAGTAATGAATGCTGTGGAGGAAAACCAGGGGTCTGGCGAGTCTCAGAAGGTGGAGGAGGCCAGCCCTCCTGCAGTGCAGCAGCCCACCGACCCTGCATCCCCCACCGTGGCCACCACACCTGAGCCCGTGGGGGCGGACGCTGGGGACAAGAACACCACCAAAGCAGCCGACGATGAGCCGGAGTACGAGGTGAGCGGCTCGCTTCTTCACCTGCCTCGTCCAGCTCTTTCCTGGGTCCTTCCACTACCAGCTCTTCCCGTCCTGCTCTCCTCTCTCCACCTGACCCCAGGCCTCTTCGTCTGCCCAGTCTTGCTCTGTCCGGGCGGTTCAGATGCAGCTCCCTCCTGGCTGTCCCGACCCTCAGATGCCCAGGGCTGGGGTTGCCATGGGGGGGTCAGGGTGGCAGGGCCTCGTGACCAGCACGTAATGACTTCTGCTCCTTGGGGCTCCAGGACGGCCGGGGCTTTGGCATTGGGGAGCTGGTGTGGGGGAAACTTCGGGGCTTCTCCTGGTGGCCAGGCCGCATTGTGTCTTGGTGGATGACGGGCCGGAGCCGAGCAGCTGAAGGCACCCGCTGGGTCATGTGGTTTGGAGACGGCAAGTTCTCGGTGGTAAGTCCTGGGGTCTGGTGGTAGCCTTGGGGAGGGACGGGTCTTGGTCCCAGGGCCTGTAGTTTGGGGCTGGGGGCTCGGTCCGGAACTGCGGTGGAAGAAGTGGGCTCTGCTCGCCCCCCCCACTCTCCACATGGGACCGGGAGAAGCCCTAGAGAAAAGTGGGCTGCCCTGGGGGGCTCAGGGAGCTGGGGCACCTGCCAAGCTCTTGCCTTCCAGGACCCTTTCTCCAGAACTCCTTTCCTGCTTGCATTGAGGTCCTCCCCCACGTTTGGGTTGGACTCCTCCTTTGAGCATCATAGAGTTATTTATCAATCCATCTGGTCCTCTCAAGGGCAGAGGTTGGGTCTCAGTGCCCCAGTCCCTGCCCATTGCCAGGCACGTGGTGGGGGCTTGACGGGTGTGGCAGAAGGGGAAAGCGAGGGCGTTGGTGGTTCCTCCAGGTGTGCGTTGAGAAGCTGATGCCGCTGAGCTCCTTCTGCAGTGCTTTCCACCAGGCCACCTACAACAAGCAGCCCATGTACCGCAAAGCCATCTACGAAGTCCTGCAGGTGAGTGCTCCTCCGAGTAGCGGGGGCTTGGACAGCAGGGACTCCTAGTTGCTCTAGAAGCTGGAGTGCAGAGGGCCCACCTGCAAGGCCCCCGGGACTCCCTTTTGTCCCCCGCCCCCCATTACTCACCCCTTACTGCACTCCCTTCCTCTAACACTCTCCTGTGACCCTCCCCTGCCGCTTCTCCCAGCGCTCGCCTCAGGCTGCCCTCACTGTCCTCCGGCCTGTCCTGACACCCTCCCCCATACGTGTTGCCCTCCAGGTGGCCAGTAGCCGCGCAGGGAAGCTGTTCCCAGCATGCCATGACAGCGACGAGAGTGACACAGCCAAGGCCGTGGAGGTGCAGAACAAACAGATGATCGAGTGGGCTCTCGGAGGGTTCCAGCCCTCTGGCCCCAAGGGCCTGGAGCCACCCGAAGGTAAATGCAGGTGCCCAGGCCAGCCTTCTGGGACCCCTGCCAGCCGGGCAGCTCCACGCCAGGGCTGGGAAGGCCCTGCTTGGGGAGAGCTGCCAGCTCTTTGGTTGAGAGGCCCAGGGGGTGTGGCCACAGTCTCCCTTTCCCTGGGGTCAGGATAGGGGCAGGGCTGCTCAGGGACGCGGGATAAGCTCCCCCCATTGGCTTGCTGGCACTGGAGAGCTGGGAGCTAGAACAAGTTGGGGACCGGGCTGCACGCCTTCGTAGGCAGAATAGAGGAGGGGAGGAAGCCGGCACTGCTTGTTGGTGGTGACCGTGATCTTGTCACCTGCTTTCCCCATCCAGAAGAGAAGAACCCCTACAAAGAAGTTTACACAGACATGTGGGTCGAACCCGAGGCAGCTGCCTATGCACCACCCCCACCCGCCAAAAAGCCCCGAAAGAGCACAACGGAGAAGCCTAAGGTCAAGGAGATAATTGACGAACGCACAAGAGGTAGTTGGCCTGGCTTTGGAGAGAGTGGCACGGCGAGGCTGGCGTTCAGAGGTGCGGCCGTGGCCCTCACGGCCCCCTCTGATGCTGGGCTCTCCTCCCCTCCGCAGAGCGGCTGGTGTACGAGGTGCGGCAGAAGTGCCGGAACATCGAGGGTGAGTCCCGATGGCCGTTGACTTCCTGGGAAGTCCGTAGTCTGTTGCCCCCAGGATGGGCAGGAGGGCTTGGCTCCTGGTGCAGGGCCTGGTGCGGAGTAGCCTAGGCCCTTAGGAAGGTTTGAACGTCATGGGACGTCCGTACCCAGTGAAGGCCTCTGTCCTGCCCGTCCCACCACCCCCACCCTGCTTCACCCACATAGCTGTCTCCCTGGTGCCACCATCTTACTTTCCTATCAATGGCAGGCGCTGGTCATTAGGGTTTGGGATACTCCAGTGGGTCCGAGAGGGTGGCCTCTCTTGGATTTGCTTGAACTTGTGACCTTTGGCCTTATACCTTTCCTCACCTGTTCTCATCCACTGGTCGTTAGAGCATCGCAGGGCTAGCAAAGATGGGGGCAGGAGCGTAAGACTTAAGGACTGCCCAGGGACTGTCTCCAGAGTCCCCCGGGGCCCCAGCCCTCTTCTCAGACGTTCCCGTCCTCGAATTACGCCTTTCCTGGGTGGGTGGCATTGCCGCTCTGAGAGCTGAATGGGCATTGAGATTGGGGCCACAATGCCCCCCTGCTCCATGGGGCACCCTCCCAGACTCCTGTCTGCCTCCTTTTTGGGCCGCTGCTCCAACATGCCCTTTTTCTGTAGCCCTTCTTGGAGCTGGGCTTAGGTGCCGAGGTGGGAAGGGGCCCTTCGGAGACATTCACTCTGCTTTCTCTACGCTCCCTGCTTTCCAGACATTTGCATCTCTTGTGGGAGCCTCAACGTCACCTTGGAACACCCTCTTTTCATCGGAGGAATGTGCCAAAACTGTAAGGTAGGGGCACAGCCCCCGGCGGTCTGCGCCTTCTCCCGTCTTAGGGCTCGCTATCGCCTGGAGTAGCTGCCGTGGTGACACTGTGGTTTGCTCTGGACGCAGAGTCCTGATCAAATGGGCCCGTGGGCTTCGAAGTGTTCGACTTGCTGTTATTTGTCCTCCCCGGAAAGACTGTCCCCCTTGAAAGCCCATTCTGGTCCGCAGACGTGGGCTCACCATGTCACAGTCCCTGGTGTGGGGCAGGGGGCTGACAGATGGGCGGGTGGGCTGCCGCGTCCTTGGGGGCCCAGGAGGAAAGCCCAGGGCTGTGGCGAGGGACAGGGGGGTGCAGTTGCCTGTCTGGCCTTGCTCTGGGGCTTCCCGATTCTGTGCACTGCTCTGGGTCGGGACACCTGCTGGCCCCTTCCCACACATGTGGCTCAAGTAGGCGGCAGGCTCACGCCCGCAAGGACAGATTCCGGTTCCTAGGTCAGGGCCTGGAGGCCGGGCGCAAAGCCTGCCTTCGCACTGGCCGCGCCGGGTGCTGCCCGGTGGTCTCTGACGCCCCCCCCCCCCGGCCTCTCCCCTCTAGAATTGCTTCCTGGAGTGCGCGTACCAGTACGATGATGATGGCTACCAATCGTACTGCACTATCTGCTGCGGGGGGCGCGAGGTGCTCATGTGCGGGAACAACAACTGTTGCAGGTGAGGCTCCCCGGCCCGCCCCCTCCCCCCACCCCCAGCCAGGCTCCCTCTGGGGCCAAGGAGCCCCCCTCTCCGCCCCCGCTACACTGGGCTTCCTTCCAGGTGCTTCTGTGTGGAGTGCGTGGACCTCTTGGTGGGGCCGGGGGCCGCCCAGGCAGCCATCAAGGAGGACCCCTGGAACTGCTACATGTGTGGGCACAAGGGCACCTACGGGCTGCTGCGACGGCGGGACGACTGGCCCTCGCGGCTCCAGATGTTCTTCGCCAATAACCACGACCAGGAATTTGTGAGTGCTGGGCCTGGGCCGTTCGCGGGGGGCGGGTTCCGAAGCCAGAGCAGTCCTAGCGGGGCTGGGGGGGCCAGCCCTGGGTACCCACCTGCAGGATCCTCCCGGGCGCTTACCTGGCCCTTTGTGCTCGCCGCCTAGGACCCTCCGAAGGTGTACCCACCTGTCCCAGCCGAGAAGAGGAAGCCCATCCGGGTGCTGTCTCTATTTGACGGAATTGCTACAGGTGAGCGTGTGGCGCCCGAGCCCCACGAGGTGCTGCCGTCCCTGTCCCGGGGCAGGGGAGCTCCGCGTGAGGGACCGCGTGTGTTTCACACACGTTAAACAATAGTTAACATGACAGCCGTTGAAATGGTACCCCGCCGAGGAAACTTTTGTGTTGAGTGAGAAGTAAAATCGTGGTCAGCTGCTGTGTCCGGGGGGCACGTGTCTTTGTTGGCGGGGGCGGGGGGTGGCGGGGTGCACTCCAGCATTGGACAGGGTGATCATTAGAGATTATTGAAGATTTTCACAAAGCCTCCAAGGACAGACTCGGCGACCAGAACGAAAACCTAGGCAGTGTTCTGTCGTACGATGACTGTAAGTCACAGTAAAAAAAACAAAACAAAAAACCCCCAAAAAACGATCAAGAGAGTCTAAAGAATAGATAAATCACCCATAATTCTATAATTAGCGTTTTGGTGAATATCCTTTGATGTTTTTTTTTTTTCCGTGCATATATGTATGTGTGTTTCTAGAATCCTACATAGCTAGAAAAATAAAACGAGAGTATAGTAAAACGCACACTGTGTTGTAACTTGCCTTTTCATTTGCTGTCATGACTGCTTTTTCATGTTAACATGGAACTGCATCCTTTATTTGTAAATGCTACATAGGATTCCGTTGGGTGGAAAGTACCATGATTTATGTAACTAACCCTCTGTTGGGTTGTTGACTCTTTTTCTCTGTTACGAGCAGCGCTGTGACAAGCATCCTTACACACACATCATTATATACGTAAACTACTCTCTCGTAGGGAGAGCTGGGGTACAGTGTAGGAAGTTTGTTTCATACGGTTCTTGACCTTGCCCGAGAGCCCTCCCGAAGGGTGCTCCTGACACATACCCACCCCCTGCCATAGCCCCAGGCCGACGGCTTCTCAGTTCTTAAGAAAGGAATAACCTCCTCAGAACGGGTGTCTTCACGTGACCAGACGTGACCAGAGGGAGACGGGCTGTCAGAGGGCCCGGGCGGGGTGGCATCCCAGGCCAGATGTTTATATTCTGTTCTCGGCTTAGTGTTGAGATTCTGTAAACCTAGGGAAATTAATTTACAGCCTTGGTTTCCCAGGCCAGAAACTGGAGGCCCTCTTAAACCACGCCACACCCTGAGAGGCTGGAAAAACTCCTCGGTGGGGAGGTCTGTGGGAGCAGTGGAAATGGTGCTGCTGAACCCTATTTCTCCAGAGGCTCTCGGGGTCTGTTCTCATTGTTTCCTTGCCCTCAATCCAGCAAACATTTGTGAGGGGGTCATGGTAAGGAAGTGAGTGTAGTTTGTTCGGGAGGAAACCTGTGTGAGCTCCTCTGTTATGAAGAGCGTTTGCAACCTAAGAGGAGGGCTGAATGAGGAATACACAGGGTTCTGAGGAGTTGGAGAGAGATGCAAGGCGTGGAGGGCTTACAGCGGGGCGGGAGGGGGTTGCTTCCAGGGGGCTGCAGGGTGCGGTGTGGGGGGTGTTGATGAAACCTTCTTGGAGCAGGTAGCATTTATGTTGAGTCTTGGAGGATGAAGTGCATGGGTGGGGGTGAGGAAGGAGCAAGTCTATGCAGGATGTAGGAACAGCAAAGAAAAGGCCACCCAAAAAGTCACCTCCTGTTCTTTCTGGTCCTGGAAACCACCTATTGTCTGGTCTTGACGGCCTTCTAAGTAGATCAAAGTAGGCATGAAATGGGATCCAGAAGGATCCTGCAGTTCACTGGGCAGGGTAGGGCTCAGGCCTGTTGCTGACCCATGTGTCCGCTAGCCGGAGAGCCCCTTGCGAAGACCAGGGTGCTGGGGAGGAGCCCCAGTGACCGTGCCTTTCGCTGGCTGGCACAGGGCTTCTGGTGCTGAAGGACTTGGGAATTCAGGTGGACCGCTACATCGCCTCAGAGGTGTGTGAGGACTCCATCACGGTGGGCATGGTGCGGCACCAGGGGAAGATCATGTACGTCGGGGACGTCCGCAGCGTCACACAGAAGCATGTACGTCAGTGTCGTGGGACCCGTCCCACTTCTCTGTGTCCCTTGCACTTTGCTCCTGGGGGCGGCGGCGGCCCCCTGGCATTTTGCTCATTTGCTCTTTTCCTTTCTCCTTTTTCCCAGTCTCTTCTCTGCCGTGTGGAATACGGGCAGATTCCAGTGGGAACCGGGAGCTGGCCTTTTGAGGCTCTGGCTGCCCCCTGACTAGCTTCAGGGCCTTTGCAGCAGAGCGCTTTGGTTCCCATTTTCCCAGTACTTTTGGCAACAGCTTTACCGGCCTCCGTTTCTGGGGGGGACTCTGGCAGGGTCTGGCCCAGGTGACCCTTTGCCTTTCCAGTTAACTGTGTCTACGACCCTGAAACTGCAGGCCCTCAGGGATCCCCAAGGGCGTTTGGAGGGCATTCAGATGGCCCAGACACCGTGCCCAAAGTGCGCAGAGCACAGAGTGCCTTCACGGTCAGCTGCCCGGCCTGGACCGCCTTCCCCCTAAGTGGCTGCTTTTCGAATTGGGAGCACAGCTGTCTCCCTGCTGGCCTCAGAGATGATCCAACTGGATCCCTTCCCTTTGTTTAGAAAACTGAGCTCAGAGAGCCTCAGCGACTTGCCCGTGGTGCTCTGTGTGTGTGTAGTATGTACTTAATGAAGGTATATAGTGAGCATACTGAGCAGCTGGGTCTCCTCTCTCCGGTGCCAAAGTACTTTTTTTAGCCAAGTCCACAGATAACTTCCTTCTTCCTTTCTGCCTCTGTCCCCGGACATCAGGCCATCCCATTACCTTTATCCTCCCAGATCCAGGAGTGGGGCCCATTCGATCTGGTGATTGGGGGCAGTCCTTGCAATGATCTCTCCATCGTCAACCCTGCCCGTAAAGGACTCTACGGTAGGTGCTGTGCTCACCCCTCCACCTTCTGAGCTGGTGCTTCCGCACGTAGGTTTCCTACTTGGACATTTCTGCCCTGGGACAGCTACTCCCGATGACCCTGTCCTCCCTTGCCCTCCCTGTGCCCGAGCCACACCACTGTCTCGTGCAGACAGCCCCAGCTGATGGCTTTCTCTTCCGACCTCTCAGAGGGCACTGGCCGGCTCTTCTTTGAGTTCTACCGCCTCCTGCATGATGCGCGGCCCAAGGAGGGAGATGACCGCCCCTTCTTCTGGCTCTTTGAGAATGTGGTGGCCATGGGCGTTAGTGACAAGAGGGACATCTCGCGATTTCTCGAGGTATAGCCAGCAACCTTGGTTTGGCCAGCTCACTAATGGCTTCTACCTTGGACTGCTGCTTTATCCCTGTCTCATCTGCATTGTGGAGCTGGGGACTGGTGACTTCTGCTTTGCAAGGGGCCTGTTCGGGAAGCTCGAGGGCTTCCCAATTAGACAGGGAGGAAACACTGGTAGAGGCCTGCTCTGGACAGAACCTGTGGTCCGACTCTAAGAGGTAGTGTGTGGGTGTGAGCCTCAGGGCTTGAAGGACTTGACTGTTCCTAATAGGGTGGGGTGCCAGGCTCCTAGAGTGTGGGGCTCTGAGTGGTGTCTCCCTGGGGGCGCCCTTTGAGGTGGCCACATCAATTTTCCCCGAACAGAATGGCTTGCCCTCACTCCCTGGCACCATGACAGATGTGCTGTGGCACCTGGGAAGTAAAAAACACGGCTTACCTGGTTTTATTCCCCATAACGTGGGTCCCATGTCCGTGCTGAGCCGGGTTGGAGGCATGCACAGAGGGTCTCTGTGGCCAGAGGCATTCTCGGGGTGGGCGGTCTGGGAGCTCGAGCCCATGCTCCAGAGTCTTGGGGTCAGTAACACCTCGAGCTGGTGTTCCTAAGTGTGAGCAGGTGTCTATTTGGCTCATAATCTGGACATACAGTGAACACGTCTGCACTCATTGGAACTTTCTTGCTCAGAGCCTCTGGGTGAGCTAGAGCTACGTAGTCCAGTTAGGGTAGCCCTCAGCCACATGTGGTATTTAAATTAACATTAAAATTCCTCTGTCGCTCGAGCCTCATTTCAAGTACTCATTGGCCACCTGCAGCTACTCCGTTGAACAGTGCAGACAGAAAACCTGTCCATCATCACAGAATGTTCAGTTAGACTGCAGTGGTCTAGAATGTTCTAATGAGAGCACGTGGAATGTGGCTGGGTTCCATTCTGGCTTTTCCTGGAGGCTTCAGGCTGTCCCACTGCGTGGCTTCCTGAGAGAGGAGTAAGCAAGCGCCTTTGAGGCTGTAAGGCTCTAAACTAGCAAAATTTCCTGGCACCATCTGCTATTCCTCTCTCGCTCATCTTTAATCTTTCTCCTGTTTTATAGTCCAACCCTGTGATGATTGATGCCAAAGAAGTGTCAGCTGCACACAGGGCCCGCTACTTCTGGGGGAACCTTCCTGGTATGAACAGGTTGGTGAGAGTGCTCGGGCCTGGGGTGGCGGTGGGTTGGTGTCTGCAGGCAGCTCGGCCCAAGGAGGAGGAGGTCACTGAGTGGGCGCTCTTGGGCACCCTCCCCTGCTGACTAGCTTGCTGCTCTACCGTGTTCTTCTGTTTCCGTCTCCTTGAGGGAGAAGGGAAGTCAGGGTATAGAAAATATTTGCCTGAGAAACCAATGGCTAGTGGTTGAAATAGGAGAATCACCATGCTGCTGAGTTACATCGTTGGTTCTCGTGCATCGGTGACGTATCTGGAGTCAGCTCGTCCTTGGTCTCCAGAGGTGAAGCTGTGGAGGGTGGAGTTGGGATGGGGAAGAGTGGTGCCCACGGCTGGGCCACACCTGCTGGGTGCCGCTGAGAGAGTCCTGCTTTGCATATTAGCCACACACTTTGTGGCTTCGGGTCCATCGTCGGGAGGATGTTCTTTATTTAGGTTACACAGAGAGAGATGTTGATGTCTAGGAACGAAGATAACTTCATTTCTTCAGTGTCGTAGTTGGATGATAAAAAGGCCTGCGAGGAGAAAGGAATTCTGATTGAGAGACAGCAGTTCAAGAGCAGAGTGAGATCCACCTCACCTGGATGTCTGTTATGCAGGGAAATATTTTCCAGAATGTTCTAAGAGTGGATTGTCAACTTTGCTGTATCTATAAATTGTTCACGTCGTCTAATCTGGCTTCAGTCTTCTCTCCCTCTCTGCCATTAGCATGAAGTTGTAGAAACATCCCAGTCTCATACCCGCTTTACAAAGCTGCTGTCTTTTGTGAAGGCTTATTGTTGGGAAGGAGTCCTGTCCGTGGGATAGCTGACCTACAGACCGTTGAGTGCCCCTTCCTAGGTTCCCCAGCTGTACCTGTGTCCTGGAAGAGTAGACTGGGTTATGTGGTCCAGTGTTCATGCCATGGAGCCACGAACTCAGTGTGTCCTCACAGACCTTGGTCCTATGGGATTGTTCTCACCTGCTTCTTCCAACTCTAACATTCTAGAACTCTGAGCTTCGAGGTGGAGCAGAGGTACTGTGTGGGGCCACGTAGGGTGTGTGTGTGCATAAATAGGGCGGAGGCTGGAGGCGTGCACTTTGACCGTGGGTCCCTGTGGGGTCCCATGCTGAGCTGGTAGGCTGCTGTGTGAAATATCAGAAAAGGTCAGCCCTAAAGGTGACGGTCAGTGATCTGCTCCGCTCTCTGAGAAGTGACACGTTCAGCGTCACAGAACTGTGGTCTTCTGGGCACTGTGCAGAAGTTAAAGCTTTTTAACCTGTGCGGTTAAGGTGCACGCGTCGATGAATTTCATCCAGTGTACACCCATGCAGCCATCACCATATTCAAAGATACGGAACATTTGGTCACCCCCAAAGCTTGCTTTGTGACGGATACTTTTTTTTGAAAAGATTTTATTTATTAGAGAGCCCATGGGTGGGGGGAGGGGCATTGGGAGAGGGAGAGGGACAAGCAGCCAGCCCCACTCAGTGCTGATTCCCAAAGCGGGGCTCAATCCCAGGACCCTGAGATCATCACCTGAGCCCGGGTCAGACGCTTAACCGACTGAGCCACCCAGGTGCCCCTGTGACAGATACTTCTAGAACTCAGTGTGTTTTATGATGACTGGCATAAAAGTCATTGGGTTTTCCTTCCTTTTTTTTTTTTTTTAAAGATTTTATTTATTTATTTGACAGAGAGAGACAGTGAGAGAGGGAACACAAGCAGGGCGAGTGGGAGAGGGAGAAGCAGGCTTCCCGCCAAGCAGGAAGCCCAATGCGGGGCTCGATCCCAGGACCCCGGGATCATGATCTGAGCCGAAGGCAGAAGCTTAAGGACTGAGCCACTCAGGCGCCCTGGGTTTTCCTTCTTGTGGATGAGTGGTATCTGCTTATTTGTAGATTGAGACCACTGTGGAATTTAGGTTTAAGGATTAACGCTTGGTGTGCTGTCCGTGGATGGCTGCGGTGTGTGTGCATATGTTCTGGGGGAGTTTGAAGGGGGTTTCAGTGTGTGCGGGTGACGACAGTCCCCTTTTATCTCTCCGTGTGAGTCCTGGCTGCTGGCTGCTTCCCTGCTGGTCTCCTGGTCTCTGTCATTACCTTCTCTTTCTGCTTCCTAGGCCGTTGGCATCCACTGTGAATGATAAGCTGGAGCTGCAGGAGTGTCTGGAGCACGGCAGAATAGCCAAGGTTAGCCCCGGTGCCAAAGCCCTCTCTCTGCTGGTGGGTAGGGAGAAGGGCAGAGAGGGCAGGAGAAGCCTGAGTGCTCTCCAGGCCAGTGTCCGCTGCTGGTGCGGAGACCGCAGTTTAGGAGGTGGCTCGGGGTCGTACACCTAGTCGGCTAGAGGGGAGGGCCCAGGGGAGAGCCTGGAGGGCAAGGAGAGAGATCAGAAATCCTTCCCGGTCTTCAGTCCCTCCTCGTTGAGCATCGCCTGCTGGTCCTGTGAGAAGCAGACACTTAAGAAGTCTTTGCCAAAGTCCCTGGATCTGCTAGGGCGCTTAAATGTTTTGGCCAGGACCTATCGCACAAGCCTTCGGGACGGCGCATTCTCCTGTGATGTGGAAGCTGCATTTCTCTCTGGAGAAATCTCCCGGAGTGAGTGTATCGGGCGTCAGGTTCCATGAGTGCGGGCACCAGCATCCGGCTCTGCAGGCGCCCCTCAGTAATTTGGGATCCTTTTGCCTGCAAGTCACTACACGTGTGCAAGAACCCATTCTTAGAAGACTTAGGAAGTTCAGTGGTGTGAGCTGCTCCCTCTCAAGTCCTTGGCCAGCGAGCCTGGACTAAGGATGGCCAGGTGACCTCCAAGTGGGAAGAAGAGCAGGGCAGTGGGGTCTGCAGAGGCTCGGGCTGGAGCCTTACCCCGGCCACCTGTGCGGACCAGGCCTTGTCCGTGTTTGATTCACCCATCCCGGCACGTGCCTGGCACACGTGTTAGATGCATGGCCAGCGAACAAGTGCTCATTCCTCTTTTCCTCTCCTCGTCTTCTAGTTCAGCAAAGTGCGGACCATTACTACTAGGTCGAATTCCATAAAGCAGGGCAAAGACCAGCATTTCCCCGTCTTCATGAATGAGAAAGAGGACATCTTATGGTGCACTGAAATGGAAAGGTAGTACCCGAGGCCATGTGCTGGTGTCGTGGGGTGTGTGGCGCGTGGCGGTTGCGGCCTCTGAGGGAGGGATCGCTGCCCCTTCCGGCCGGGCTCGTAGCTTCCACAGATACCACGTGAGCAGTGGGTCTCCCCGAGCATTTCCCAGCAGGGCAGGTTCCTGGAGGTAGGGGGGCACTCCTGTGCATTGTAAGGCCGGGCCCAGGGTCAGAGGGGTCTAGGAGTGGGTTCAGGGGGCTGTGGCTCCCAGGGGTCCGGCTAAACTCCCAGGAAACAGTGCAGCTCCAGGAGCTTCCTCCACTCGTGCTGCTCATTTCGGGAACTGTGCAAACGAGGACAGCACAGGGCCAGGCGGGCCGTGCACCCTCATGCCCTGACTGGGTGCAAACCAGATTCACGGACTAGACGGCCTCCTGGTCCCCAGTGTAACTGCAGTTTAGCCAAAGCGACCCTTGACGTACGCGACGAGAACAGACAGAAGCTTGGAGCTCCTCCAGTTGGGCAAGAGTTCGGCTCCTTTGTCGAGTTCTTGCTCTTGTGGGCTTGGTCCTAGGGATGCGTGTTTATTACGGATAGACTTCAGGTACCTGCTGCAACTCCGGAGGTGTCTTTCACTGATGCTAACTTTGTTTCTGTTGTGTGGCCACTCCCAGGCGGCGGTTGGCTTCCTTCCCTTCAGACCCACGGCAAGTGGCAGGGTGCCTGAGTCGTGGTTGGCGATACAGGATGGAAGATGCAGCCGGATCGCACCCACCCGCGCTCACCCCCGCCCTTTCTGCCTTTTCTCTCCAGGGTATTTGGCTTCCCTGTCCACTATACCGACGTCTCCAACATGAGCCGCTTGGCGAGGCAGAGACTGCTGGGCCGGTCGTGGAGCGTGCCGGTCATCCGCCACCTCTTCGCTCCGCTGAAGGAATATTTTGCTTGTGTGTAAGGGACATGAGGGCAAACTGAGGTAGTGACACAAAGTTAAACAAACAAAAAACACAAAACAAAACACCAACAACATGAGGATCGAGAGGAGTATCAGCACCCAGAAGAGAAAAAGGAATTTAAAACAAAAACCACAGAGCCGGAAGTACCGGAGGGCTTTGCCTTGCACAAAGGGTTGGACATCATCTCCTGAGTTTTCAATGTTAATCTTCAGTCCTATTTAAAAACAAAACCAAGCTCCCTACCCCCCCCCCCCCCCCCCCCCCCCTTTTTTTTTTTGTTTTGGTCAAACCTTTTGTTTTCTACTCTTTTCAGAGGGGTTTTCTGTTTGTTTGGGTTTTTGTTTCTTGCTGTGACTGAAACAAGAGGGTTTATTGCAGCAAAAATCAGTAACAAGAAATAGTAACAATACCTTGCAGAAGAAGGGTGGGAGAAAAGGAAAAAGGAAATTCTATAGAAATCTATATATTGGATTTTTTTTTTTTTTTTTTTTTACTATATATCTTTTTTTTTTTTTCGTTGTTGTCTCTAGCCTGATCAGATAGGAGCACAAGCAAGGGACAGAAAATAGTGACACTCAGCGGCAGAATTCCCTCCCAGCCACTGAGCTGTCTTGCCAGCACCATTCCTGGTCATGCAGAACAGAGCCCAACTAGCAGCAGGAAGACAGAACACACAAGACCCTTTTATACAGTATTTCAGGTGCCTACCACACAGGAAACCTTGAAGAAAATCAGTTTCTAGAAGCCGCTGTTACCTCTTGTTTACAGTTTATATATATATGATAGATATGAGATCTATATATAAAAGGTACTGTTAACTACTGTACAACCCGACTTCATACTGGTGCTTTAAACAGCGAGATGAGTAAAAACATCAGCTTCCACGTTGCCTTATGTGCAAAGGGTTAAACCGAGGATGGAGAAGGGAGGCAGCTTGAAGGTGAATCGTTGCCGTGGTGGGCTTTCTCCCCCGGTATTGAACAAGGTGAAGGGGGAGAATCCGGGACCCGCGTTCTCCTGCTTCTCCTTGCCAAAAGCGGGGGTGAGGGGAGGTGGGTCGGACCGTGGAGAGCTGAGAGAGGGATTCGTCCAGGCTCACGCAATAACCTTTTGATTTTTTTTCAAAAAGGAGACTCCCTCGGCCAGATGACAGGATAAGGGGTCTTCCTTCCCAATTTCTCACATTAGCCGATTCGAGGGCTCCTTGTGGTGGGATCAGAAATAATCCAGAGTGTGGGCAAGTGACCGTTAAAACCCCACCTGGAGCAAATAAAAAAACATACAAAACGTACTGGTGCTTTCCTGTCTAAGTCGCCTTTTGTGTGTTCTTTTATGAGGCCCTCACCATCCACCCTCTGTGCACAAGGCGGCTTCCGGCCCCTGGAATGTGATGTTTTTGGTCATCTCCAAAGGCTGCAGTTTTATACTGGGAGGCTGATGACACCTTTTGTTATAATTATTCTTATGGTTCTGGTTATAATTATGTTTGTTTTCAGATTTTTTCTTTAAGAAAACAAAAACCCAACCCCCCCTCCCTTGCGGTTTCAAACCGAGGTGCGGGGAGCAGGGTGCTTCTAAGTTAGCGGTGGCCCTGGTGCCCTGGCTCCCCACCCCTCGGGCCAGGTGGGCCACCGGGCACAGTGACAGCTGGGCGGCCAGGGGAGTCCCCGAGGCCGGCCTTCCGGGCGCGTCCCTCCTCTCTTCTACTTCCCCCTCCTCTGAGTCGTGCGTGTCAGGGCTGGAGGGAGGACCAGGCCATCTCTCTCCTCGTGTGTATGATTGGAGTGGTGTGTATTTCTTTTCTAGTACTTGGTCTGATGATAGCTGGGCTCTCACCCGAGCCGGCAGCACCTGGAGCCCCAAGGGCACGGACACTTGGTTCCACCTCCTACCGAGGCAGGCGTTGGCGGTAGGCAGGGCCAGCATCGGTGGCTCCAGGGTGAGGGCCCAATGGGCAGATGCTTGCCTGGATAGATGGGGTGTAGATATGTGGCATATAGAGATATATATTTTATAATGGGAGGGGGGATGGCACCTCCTGGGACTGGCAGGGCTGGGAGGTGTGCCGGCAAGCACATGGTCCCAAGTTCGCATCCCTAGAAAGATAGGGCCTACGGTGATAGGCGCTATATAAATACATAGATAGGGTCATGTATAAGAAATATTATGTAGTGGGGAGCGGGGCAAGGGGGCTCAGAGTGCTGAGCCTCGGGTCCCACTGCAGACATAAGCCCCACACCAATCAGTCAATCCCACACGCATACACAGGAACCGATCTCTACCGATGCGGAATGGGCGCACACACACACACGCGCGCGCGCGCACACACACACACACACACACACACACAACCGGGGGGCTCCCAGCGCTCTTCTCCCCAGGATTCAGGACTTTGTGGCGTCGGCCCTGCAGCTCTTTACCTCTGTTGCCCTGATTGCAGGTAGACTCTCAATCCCAGAAGTTGCTAGGTGCTGAAGGCGGGAAGAGGAGGTTTTATCCCCGCAGGTGCTCTCCTCTAGCAGGTAGCATTCTATCTCTTTTGCCCCTGGTGATGTCAAAAGATTCTTCTGTTAGCAACCTGTGATACTGACCTGCAACTCTAGGCACCAGTCAAGTCAGCCCTCGACTCCCCCTACCTATTCTCCCCCAACCAAAATAAAATCGACATCCAGGTCTATCTTGGCCAGGGGGCTTCCATTGGAAAAAAAAAAAAAAGAAAAAGAAAAATGGGACAGTGAAACTCATCTTTTGAATAAAGTAAATTAGTAATCGGTGACAAAACTAAACCAAGGCTTTGAATCCCTTGCTCATTGCTCAGGAGTAAGCTCACAGCTGGTGGCCACAGTCTCCCACTCCTTTTGAGGTGCTTGGTCCTGGGCTTCAAGCTACGCGTTTCCTTGTCAGATTGGTTTTTGAGATCACACCCAGTTTGCTCCCTGCCAACTCTGTGACATGGCGGCAGGTGGCCACGGTGGGCCTCCTTGGGGCTGGAGCAGCTAGGAGGGGGAATACCTCTGCCCCTCCCTCGTTGGAACCCCTGTACCTAACCCGTGGTGCTCACGCTCGTCCCCTCCTTCTCCAGCCGGGCTCCATCTTCCTGGCCTGGGTCCACCAGCACCACTCCAGGAGGGCTTCGGGGAGGAGGGGCTGCCTCAGGCAGTCCAAGGTGCTCCCTCCCCCACTGGCCAAGGCTAAGGTCTTCGCAGCCCCCAGCGTCAGGACTGGCCCTTCACGGGCCTGCCTCTGCAAACAGACTTGCCAGCTCTCCTGGCCCTCCTAGGCCTTTCGTCCACTGCTTACGTGAAGGAGTTTGCCTTTCCCGACGGCCCAAGCTTCACCCAGGGGGTTGGTGTGGTAGCCGTGGAGGCGGCAAGCCTGAGGGCTTAGTGTGGGCTGGCCAGCTTGCTGGGGGGAGGCCTGCTTGTTGTGACTGATCCTGAAGAGTACTTGTTTCTCCTGGTCCAGCAACCTGACTCGGCCCCAGAATGGGCCAGATGACCATTAGCAATCACCAGCTTTTCTTCCAGCCCACCCCACGGGCTTGGTCCCCCTAGTAGAACTCGGGAGGGTGCAGGGGACCTTGGGAATGTACCAGCTTGGCCGTGCCCGATGCAACAGTCTGCTGCTAGCCCTGGGTGGGGTGCTTCTGGGGACACGGATCTGGTCGCCTTCTAAAGGAGGGCTGTGCTTTGGCCGAGGCAGGGTTGTGTGAGGATTAAGGAGGGGATCGTTAACACTTGCTGTGGGTGAAGCCAAGGTTAGGGGCGTGGAGTAGGAGAAACCAAAGAAGGCCCAGGGAAAATTCTGGAGTATGTCCCCGGTGGGATCTTTCTTACGAAATTTACCCCTGGAAACCAGGGCTTCTGGGGCCTGAGGATGATGCCTCCCCATTTGTGGCAGGTGCCAAGTAGAAGGTGGTGCCAAAGAGATGGGTGGCTTTTGTCTGGGGGAGGTTGCCGGGGGCTTGTGCCAGGGTCACAGAGCCGTCGGCCGCCTGCCTGAGGAGGAAGTGAGTCTCCCGCAGGCAGCTGCTGAGCCCTGTGGGCCGGGCCTCAAGCTGGCTGGTGCTAAGCCCCTTCCCTGGGGGGCTGGCTGGAGAGCAGTCGGCTGGGGGAGCAGCAGGTGAGGACTGGGGCGGGGAGAGGGTTCTTGCAGTCAGCAGATCACGCCATGAGTGTGTTACTATCTGTTTTTCTCTCTAGACCTCAGAACCTTCCTGCTATTGAACATTCTTCTAGAAAGCAAACTTCCCCAAAGAGCGTCCAGGACCTCTTAGCTTTTGAGACAGGCCTGGGAGTGGTTGGCTGGTGGAGATGCCCGTGGGAGTCTTGGTGAGTCGCTAGGGTGTGGATTGGGACAGGCAGACCGGGCAGCAGGGAAGGCTGCTGGACATTGAACTGGTCTCTTGAGGGTCGGCTCCCCCTCCTCCTCCCTGCTTCGCGGTGGTTCTGGGAAAACCTAGATGAGAATACCCACCATCTGCAGCACAGGAAGGTCTGTTGCAGGAGCAAGGGAAGGAGCCATCTGGGAAGCGTGTTCTCCAGGAAAACTGCAATCCAGAGTCTTCCTGTGTTTGACGATCTAGGTATACATAAAGTTGATCTCGGAGGAGGTTTTGAATTCCTGTCGCCGTTCTGCTTGGCCAGAGGTTGCTGTGGCTTTTGGAGCAGTCATTTTTAGGAAACTTGCAGGAGTCCCCTCGAGCTGTGGATTAGGGCCTTGGGGCCTCCCCTGGCGCTGTGATCTCGAGAGGGCTAGTTGTTCCCTTTGGTCAGGGGAACAGCAGACCCAAGATTCTGGCGAGAACAGAATTTCCAGCCAGGCCCCATTCTGATCCCTGGAGGTGAGGGATCTGAGTTTGTCTTCAGGCATTGTCTAGTCTGGTTGCTCCCAGTGCTTGTGATTAGAGGTGACATCGGAGTTGTCCTTGGCAGGAGAGCCGAAGGCTTTCCTCCAGCACAGGATGGGGGGGTGTTGTGGAGGCCTGGCCCGGAGCTAGCACGGCCTCCCGGCCTGACCCTGCTGAGGCAGGGATTAACGACACATGTCTGCAGGATCTGGCAGGAAAGAGAGGGAGATTGATGGCAAGGATAGACTCTGAGGTTCTAGCAGAAGCTCTCGAATCTTTACATTTTGGTAAAGGAAGGCCTGGGTGTCTTTGGGAAGCGAGGGCAGCCCCCGTGATGTCTCAGAGACCTGGCTGAGGGGGGCCTTTGCTTGGTGACCTCTTGCCCATCACGGACCCTAGGCAGTGGAGCTTCTGGGGCAGGAGAAACAGGCAGGTCTAAAGCAGCGAGCACAAGGACACAAGGTCCCTTTGCTAGTTGTGACTGGCTGAATTGCCTGAACGGAGGCCCATGGACTCCTGGAACTCCGGTAACTGG